TCTGCGGCATCCAGCGTTCTTCGCCGAAGTGGGGTAGAGATACCCGAAAAACCGTTCACAAATCGTGTATGGCGCCGGTCAAACCAAGCCGAATTTTAGTAGTTGCCGAAAAATGTTTTGAGGATTGTTCAGCGGCTATACAAAGTTTGGTTTACACATAACTACTCGAGAAATGAGCGTCAAGTTACACTTTTTTGATGCTTGCCTTTATGCGACTTTCATTTATTATTTGCTTTTCCAACAGACCGTCAACTGAAACAGCTGTTTTTTATTACCAGTTATGTTTTATGCATTTTTGAGCGGGTTCTTCCAACTATCATTCTCTTTGAGTTTTTTTTTTTCTTGTTGGCACCGCTCTTGTTCTGATTATTTTTTACACAGACTGTAAATTTTTTTTTTCACCTCTAACAAACTTTTTTCTCTTAGATAATATACTTATTTAGTGCATATTTGGCAATCATCCAGCAATGCAGTTGTATTTCCTGGTTATTTTGACCAGTGCTGCATCGCCTAATACTCAGTCTACCGGTGTATGCTTTCTTATCACAATAAAAAGAAGAGTGGACATGTTCTGGGCAGAAAACAAATTTTTATAAGAAATTAGCATAAATAGCAAAATTCACAAAACGTTAAACGGAACAATAGCATAATCATCTCCCTGTATACTGGAGGCATACCTCAACGACCGAAACAACATACTCCGCGATGCTCTGCGTAAAATCTTCTTCCTTCAGCATTTGCATTTCAAGCACTTAAATTAGGCATTTTTAATAGCTAGATCTAGCCATCAGTCCTATGCTTCCGGAACAAACAGCACTATGGATCTACGTGAAGTTGCATTCCTTTTATTTGTTCCAGTGACAGATTGGTACTAGCATATGCCGAGGAGTCAAAGCCGCCATCAGCTTGCTTCTGTGCAACCTTCGGAAGAAAAAGCTACCAACAGCCTTGCCAACGAGTGTTTGCTTTTAGCATTTGCTACCATTTCTGTATTTTCCCAGTTTCTCAGCCTTTTATGACAGAGAGCGAATACAAGGAGCATTTTGACTTTTTCAATTTTTAAGCTCTTCAGCTAAATTTTTGCTCTTTCATATAAATTTAATTTGAAAATCCGCACCATTTTTCCGTCTCTACGGACGGCTTTTCCTCTTCGCAGCTTCTAGTTATTCTGGTTTTTATGTGTTAACTGCTGTTAGCGTCGTCTAGGATGGCAGTGAATAAAAAAGGCAGGGAGGATCAAACTTTTACTTTACACTATAAATAAAAATTTTATGGAAAATGCTGAACTTTAAGCTTTCGAAAAAACCTGTTAGCTGTATTTTCATATTTCCATCTATTATATTATTCGTAGCTTAACTACGATAAGAATTATTATTTTGGTCTAACGTAATGTTTTTGGCCTTCAATGTATAATAATTATAATAATACTTTTTCTAGGGAACTCTTTGCGAAAAAAAAAATTTTTCAAAATTGGTGGGGTGGCAGAATTTGTAACAAGTACTTTCTTCTGAAAAAAAAAAACGAGTCTATGGCACCACCTACCAGTGAAGGGATATGTTACGCAGAAAACGAGCGATAAGTTGTATTTAACTGAATGAATTACCAGTAATGTATACTTTTGTTATTTTTGCTGAGTTTCCTTTGAGCGCAAGTATTGTTGAGTGGCATCGTCAGCTTCAAGCAAACGAAATTTCCATCGGTAAACCTTTAGTACAGCATTAATTCTGTACTGATCCACACTGAAATACTGTTAGATTTGCGAATAATACAATCGATTTTTACCAATTTTCTACATTATGTAGCAATAGAGGTCAAAAAATCATCAAGTCCACCAATTTGTGGTACTTGACGTCTGCGTTAGGCGCTTGCATAGTCATAGGCAAGAGCTCACAGTGCTATCTTTATTTTTTCCAGAAAACTGTGGCTGAATGTTTTATTGCTTATAGAAAATTGTTAGTATTTGCTTTTTTTTACTGTACTTTTCTGTTCGCTATTGTTGGAATGTTTATCGATGAAAGAAATGGTACTTTTTAATGCGTTCTTTTCTAAAGAACTTGACAAAACATGCTTCTTTTTTCTGAGATTTTTAGAATACTTTCCTTAGCTCTGACTGTAAGTTAGCACATGATTTTCGTCGAAATCCTGGAAATTCTCGGGACAGAAAAATACGCTAACGTCGGAGGCAGTTAATAGGTTATGAAGTACAAAACTGATGTCAGAAGAACTGATGCAACGGTAAGTATGCTGAAGACGAATCTTAATAAATTTTTCACAAAAACTCTATTTCTAACCCGTAATTGCTGGAATCAACACCTTCGAGAAATGCTCGTCCCGGATACCACTCGCGACCTTTTCCGGCTTCAGCAATATCAAGCAGTTGTTTATCGACATGATATGTTAAAAGAAATTTCATCGCTTCAAATGGGCCTTTTCCATCTATCTAAATAAACTTTTCGATTTCGGCCTGTTCTTAAACAAGTATCTCAAAATACTTCATACAAAATGAATCCTTTGAAATAATACTGAAAAACCAGATGAGAAGTAAGATCGCTGCAGCTGTGAAATTTTTTGCGATTTTTGCGAGAGTGCAAAGAAAGGGTCCTCTTGAATGACCATATGGAACCACACAGATGAAAAAAGTCCAAATTGGGGAAAAATTGAGAACTTGTTGGATGTACCAATGGTGAAAAGTAAAGCGGCAATGAAATAATGGCTGATCAAAGTACAAAGCAAGCGGTTAAGAAGTACCGGGAACGGCAGAACTATATTACAGTCGTCTTTTGACCCACTGCCTTTGAGTTACACAATTAGCCTAAGGTCGAATCCAATATTAGAATTTGAGATGCATAAACACTTTTAGGGTTTAGTACAAAGTTCTTTATCACTGGTGAAAACTAGGGCCTTACCTGATGGAAACTAGGGCCTTGAAGTTT